AATTTGCATTTCAAATATGGATTGTAGTACACATTCCAAGCTTTCCAAAATGTCCAAGAAATCATCAAACAACCTCATGACTTGAGAGATTCGAATTTCACAATTTGGCAAAAACTCACTTTTGAATTGGCTATTTTTCATGTTCATAATTTGTGCAAACTTCTCAAACCAGCATGCCTCTTGATTACAGGTCCTAAAACCATCCAACACTCAATAATTTAATGCATGTTCATTGTGCTAAGACCTTGTTTCATGAGCTAAAGCATTGTATGATGGATTAATCCCAAATTGGAAAAAGCATTATATCCATTTTTGCAAAAGTTTCACTTTATGTCATGATGCAAATCCACAAGTACAAACCAAATCCAATTGACACAAGATTATGGGCAAATCACTCTGATCAAGGAGAGATTATGCAGCTCATTAGGGGTCCCCTACTTGCCTAAAACACCAAGTTGGCTTTGCTTGCTTAAGAGTGAAGAAAAGTACCATAACATAGGACATCTTTCATCTCAGCATTAGAACACAGAGGAAAATATTGTAGACACATTCCAAACATCTCAACCAAGCTTTTGCACGACCCTAACACCTCTCAAACATTCCCAACCTCAGAATCATCTTCAAACTGCAAAAACAGGGCAAGGCCTGCAGTTTGAGTGCCATCTTTCATTTCTCTCAAGCTTTCTTGCCCAAACCAGTTCACACACCTTCCATACCATCTATGCAAGCTAACCAAGACCTGAAACACGACCTGTAATCCCTCTAACCACTTCCACCATTTTCAGTTTCTTGTTTTGCAGGTGAAGTGCTCTAGCACGATTCAGAAGCTTTTAAGACAAAGTAAACATTAGAATAGCATCCCTGGACCTCAAGGAAGCTTTTCCAATCATCACCTTGCACTGAGAGATCCCTCATTGCCAGATAGAACTTCAGCTGAACAGGTATCTTGGTGAACTTCTATCTCTCTTATCAAGCATCATTAACTCTAAGTTTGTGAATAAACAATGTTCTACTCATGCCACTGAACATGTACATGTTTTTACTTTTCATTTCTTTTACTTGAGCTGTGAGAATTTGAGGTTTGAAAATGGCAGAAAATCTAGGTTAGGATTTGGGGGAGAAGAAATTCTCCCTCATCTTAGAGAGTTAGGTCAAGTTCTGCATATGGTTGGATTCGTCTCTTAATGCTGAACATTTTTTATGTTATGAGTTTTTATTAATAAGCCAGGAATCAGGAGTTAGAAGATCAAGAACAGGGCGCGCGTTTTTGAATTGTTTTGGCTGAAGGTTGAAGACAATGTCTTCTTGGGCTGGGCCTGAACTATTTTCTTATTCACACCACTTTTCTTGTTTTACACCCCTGAGCCCATTTGCTTCATTTTTAATGTTTTTTGACTTTTTCTTTTTTTAACTGACTCATTTATTTTTTCTCAGCATATTAAAAATATAAAAATATTTTTCCCATCATTTTAGAATTTATTAAGTATTTATTTGATTGTTTCTTTAGTTTGTACATAAATAAATAAATATATATATATACTTTTTGTTTAAAATATTAAGATAGTACAAATATATTTTTCTATACACTTTTATCTTATTTTTACTTCCTGAAAATATTTTATAGAAAAAATACTTTTTGTTGAAATATTAAATATTATTAAATAATATATATAAGACATATTTTGTAAATAATATAAATATAGGTATATATTAATATACTTAGGATAAAAATACCAAAAAATGTACATATTTTATTTTTTAATATTTAATGCTAAAAAATACCCTTTTTACAAATGTACTATATTTTATTTTATTTTTGTATGTAAATAATAATTATTATATGAATTAATTGATTAATACCCCTTTGATTAAAAATTAGGGTTTTGCCCTAAAATTGAAAATACTCCAAAAAATAATACCTTTTTATTTCTCTTTTCATTTTTACATAAATAATATTTTTTTTCATACACATAAAAATTCTTTTTACATTTTGCATATTTATTTCAATTTCCATTTAATTATACATTTATTTGTCTTGTAAATATTCAAAGAAAATGATGTAATAGTTAGGTTTAAATTCCTGTCTAAATATCCCCATTTGAAACATTGTACCCCCCTCCCCATATTATTGTGTTGTAATAGTGTAGGAATTTAAATTTCGCACTTTTAATGCTTTCTAAACATACTATGCTAGAATTAGGGTTTGTATGCGAATAAAATGAACAAACTAGTTTGACCTAATACAAGACAAGAAAAGCATGAAAAATGGACAACACATTTCACACTTGCACCCCTAGGGTATTCCACTTTGTTGCCTTCAAATAATTGGGCCATATTGTATGTTGAATTTCTTTGGGTAAAACAAATAATCAAATGATCATAGTCCCTCAAAATGTTGCCTAAATGAATGATCAAGTCCCTTTTAAAGAAAAATTGCCCAAAGACATTTAACACTATTGCAATTATGGTCTAAACGATGACCCGCGTCTGTCCCTTTCACCTCCTAATACAAGATTGTCCACCAAATGCAATGATGGAACAAAATTGTCAAAAGGTTTAAAACATAACAAAAATCTTTGAGAAAACTTTAGGGTAGACAACTCTTAAGTACTTGTCAATTTGCCAAGAAAACACTTGCCTATTTTCAAAACCCACCTCACAAACACTTTCAAAACCAACTTTCAAAAAACCTTGAAACATCTTTTCTAAAGACAAAACACCTTTTGTAAAACATTCGAGTAAAGAATTGTTACAAGGGTAGCCTATACAAGGCATCTTTTCAAAACATTTTCAAAAACCACACACCAACCACCATTTCAAACAATTGAAAACCAAGGCAAGTTGATCTTAGCAAGTACCTAAGAGCCCATGGATAACCATGGATAGAAAGGGTGCTAATACCTTCCCTTTCTATAATCTACTCCCCGAACCCAAGAAAAATCTCAAAGGTTTTTGCTGTGCTTTTTAAACCTTTCCTTAGGATAAAATAAAAAGTCGGTGGCGACTCTTGCTCAACCGAAACATTTGCGAAAACAAACGCAAAACCCTAGTCAGTTCTCCCACCGTATCACAGATACCTTAGCAACTTTTCGTAAGGGTCTAAGATCGTTTATCGAAGGCAACATCGAAGGGTTATCGAGGGACTACGATCTTGTATTTGAGGGTCATTGCTAAAGTATCTGGCGTTCGAGGGACATGGCTGTTTTTATTGAAGGCAACAAGTGTGGGTTAACCCTAGAGGTGTAAGTGTGCAAAGTGTTTGTTTTCATACATTTTTGTCTTGAATTTAGGGTTATCTATTTATTGATTTTATGTCTTTTCATACAAACCCTAATTACTAGCAACAATATAGAAAGCGATAAATTGTGAAATATAAAAGTCCTACGCTATTACAATATTTGGGGATGGGGATACAAATTTACAAATGTGGTTGAAAGCAATTAAAACATAATTAATATTACAACCCAATTGAATAATGAATAACAATGAAATGTACATGAATATAAAGATAATATAAAAGAAAAATGTTTTTATGAGTTTTTGATAGAAGGGATTTTAATTAACCTAATTAAACTAATGAATTTTGCAAGAGAAACTAATTAATTTATCTAACAAAATCTAAAATCTAATTTGATTTGAAAGAAAATCAAATAAATCCTAAGTCTATTTATCTTTAATTAAAAATGGATTAATTAGTTAAGAAAATATTTTTGGGGTTTTTATTTATAAAAATAAATAAGGGGAAAAATAAAATAAAATTTAGAAAGTTTTAATTTAATTATTTAGTAAAATATATTTTATATTTTTATTAAACAAAATAAGTAAAGAAAATTGATCTGACGACCAGAGTAAACTGATCCTCCTTCTTAGCCAACAAATTCACCTCCTGAATAACATGAATATCCCAACCAAATCTCAGATCTAGCGAAATAAATAAAGTGAAAGTGAAAATGAACATAAATGACGATGAAAATGAAGATTAAATATCAGATATCAGTGAAAACTATTCAAACAATCATGAAAATGATTCAATACACATTTTCAAAACAAAATCGGTGAAAACACTGTAAACAGATTCACTACACGATTTCAAAACAGAAACATTGAAAGTTGTGCAAACAACCATGAAAATGAACATTCAATATCGATTTGGGAGATGTCAACACACAATATTACCTGAGTTGAATTGCAAGATGCTGGATCTGGAAGAAGAAAATAATTTTCTGTTTGAAGCTTCAAAAAGTGATGAGAGAGACGGAGGTTGTACGAAGAGGAAGATAGAGAGACACTAAGAAGAGAGAAATGAAGTGCAAGGCTTTCAAAAGGAATAGATGGAATTGTTTGTCCGGCGGTTAAATGCATGTATCAGCAAAACATCCAACAGGAAACTTGAGAAATGGGTGTCACTTAGAAGAATGATAATAGTTAATTGCTTGGAACAAAATTTGATTTAGCAAATTACAATTAAGAGCATTTGTTAGTGCAATTAAATTTGGGTTAAATAAATTTTTGGTTCCTCTAAATATCTCAAATTTCGTATTTAGTCATTCTAAAATTTTCCTTTAAAAAATGGTCCTCCAAAAAAATTAAATTTTAACTTCTGGTTCCTCCTGACAAAATCGTAGCTAAAATAATCTTTAATTCCGTCGCTAAATAAAAACTGTCGCTAAATTGTAAAAATCGTCGCTAAATTGCAGGAGGGACCAAAAGTTAAAATTTAATTTTTTAGGAGAATCATCTTTTGAAAAAAAATTTTAGAGAGACTAAACGAAATTGTATATATTTAGAAGGACCAAAACTTATTTAACCCATTAAATTTTGATAGAAGCATAATTTAGCATGTTTAGTGATATGTAATATTCTTAATTAGGTAGTTGATCTAAACAAAGCATTCACGTTTACAGACTTTTTCTTTTTCTTTTTGCTGACTTAAAATTTTTAACAACATCTATAAATATGGTCCTCTACCTACACTCCTTCACATAATTCTTCATTCAACCATGGCTTCCATCAAACTCATATCAACCATTCACGTTAAGTCGCTTTGGAATTTCATCAATTCATGGTCTAAAATCTCATGTGGTCTCGATCAACCATCTAAACTCCCAACACTTAATCGTTGGTTTCTCGACCATTTAGTTGAAGCTCCCATCAAATTTCCTTTTCCAAAAGAGGAAAACCTAAAAAGTACAGAAATTGATGAAAACTCTCCACCACTTGAGAGAATATTTCATTTTACAAACGCCGAAATCGTGAAACTTAAATCAAAAGATAACAAAGAGGCTAATACAAACAAAATATCTTCTCTACAAGCACAATAAATCATCTCTGGCGAGTTGTGATTCGTTGTCACAATATCGACCTTGAAGAAGAAATCAAGTATTTTTTAGTCATAGATGCTCGAAGCCGAGTTGTTTCGCGGTTGTGTGAGAATTACTTTGGAAACGCCTTGCAGGTTGGTGGTGTGAAAGTGAAAGCAAAGGAGCTAGTTGTTGAAGGAGGGTTTGGAAAAGTTGCTTTTGAGATGAACAAGATGATAGGTTCATACAATGGTGATACTTTGAAGAGAAACTATGAAAATTAGGTAAAAAGTCCAAGGTTGTTTCAAGGAAGGCTTAGTAGTGTTAAGCCTTTGGCAACTAGTAGTTCTCCAAGGTTTGATGTTTATGGTAATGATTTTGGTTGGGGTAAGCTTGTTGCTGTTAGAAGTGGGGGTGCGAATAAAAGTGATGGAACTATTACTATGTTTTGTGGGGAAGAAGAAGGTAGTATTGATGTTGAAGTTTTTCTTTCTTATGATATGTTGGCAGCTATGGGAAATGATCCTCAATTCATAAATATCTTTTAGTTAGTTTACGTTATCTTATGAAATATGCATTGTTAGTTTGAGTTTTGAATGAAGTCTAAGCAAAAATTGTTATGTGCAAGATGTGTTTGATTCTTAAGAATAAATATGAGTTTTGGACTTTTTAGTTTGTATTCTGTTAATCTTTGTTAATCGCTATACTAATTGAATGGTTTTGAATAGTTTGATGTTAAATTTGAGATTAAAATAAAACTTGTTATGGTAAGCCTTTTTTATAGATACTAATTAAGGGAATACTTATTCTTGAATGTGAATTATTTCTTACGGTCTATTAAGCAGGACTTAGTTTAAATATGTGATATTTCATTTATTCATATTTAAGAGGTAAAGTTGTGAAAATTAAGCTATTAAAAATAAAAGAATTTTGATTATAAAAAGTGTTAGGTGGCCAAAACCATTTAATAATACTATTTACACGCACAGACATACTAAAAAAAACTAAATAATATACTTCTAAAATAATTAAAATATGTGTTGATTTTGTGTCTCAAATGTTATTTTATGATTATGAGTTTCTTTCTATCCGGTTCTTTTAGAAATTCCATCAAAAAAATTTAAAAGTCATTCAGATTCTATGATCAAGAACATGTTTTAAAGTGTTTAGATTTTGAAATTCCAATATGTTTGTGATCCAAGGAAACAAACTTTAAACATGAACATTCCATTAAATCAAATTAAGTTTAATAACATAATACATAATCATCATCAACAACAATAAGAGCAACAACAACAATACATCAACATAAATTCAAAAATATTAATTAAACACAAACAAGATCATGAAAGAGACAAATTTATTACTTCATCAAATTGAACCATCCATATCTCGATTTCATCAAATGTTTCAAGAAGAATCAAATTTGAATAGATTGATCAGGATAACATCTAATTAGATCGGTCCCAAGAAAAGATAGTGACCACATGTTAAGAACATGATTTTTTTCACATCATCGTCATTTAGAAGTTTCATTTTGGTGAACCAAACACATTCATTTAAGTCGATTGATTGACAAACAATGGTACTCGACACTTACCACACTTCTTATGTCACTGTGGTTGAGACGACTATTAAGTTGGTCTTATTGTTCTTTCGTACTAGACAAGGTAACACCTACATTGGTTGTTCATTCTTTAATCCAGACTTAAAATCAAGGTGTTTTACACAAATCTATATTCTATAACTTGAAAAACTAAAAAACTTCCTATGCTTATATTTGGATTATAGAATCTAAACATGCATTTTATGTATAAAAAATACATGTTTTGCTTATAGTAGTTCAGCGTGTCATTTTCGGTAGTATCTAATCCAGACTCTAATGGCGAACCATTAAAAAATTCGATGATCTTCCACTAATTTGAAATTATTAAGTGCGTCCTTTGATACAACTATATAATCACAGACAAATTGAAATCTTAAAACAAACTGCTAAGCAATACATATCTAAATCTTGATATTTCTTCTATTGTACACAACTCATTAGGTTGCAAATATGTCAAGATCTTCACTCGATCTTGAGTCAACCACCTTTTTAGAACTAAAGCACTCTAAAAATTCTCCCTCGACAATCTTCACTCGATCATATCAAAATTTTATTGTTTGAGTCTTTGGACTAATTAAGGAGCTAGAAACTCCAAGATTTCGTTTGCAACGATCATTACTCAGTCTTACCGAAATTCCCGTAGAGAAGAAACTTCTTCTTTTTCTTCACTGGATGTCATAACTCAGAATTCATAATCACAATATGATTCTTCACTAAATGTCATTATCCAGAATTCATAATCACAATATAATCCTTCGATCTGAAAACACAAACAAACTTCACAGAAATATTAGAATCCCTTATGTACCTCACAACTACCACTCAGACTCTCACTTAGAGTTGAGAAACCAAAAACAATGGGGTTTTGGTTTAAGGTTGAAGATGGAGTTTTTCAGAAGAATCTGACATAAAGCTTGTTCACACTCAATAAATAAATTTTTCATCATGGTTAATTGGAAAGAAAGTTTAGGTGATTGACAAAACACTCTTGATTTTTTAAAGATTGTGAGAGTATGCACAAAATTAAATTTGAAAACATGTTATATTATTTTAAAGAGAAAATTTTGGATTTTATATGTGCTAGATATAAAACATAAAATAGATAGAAAACTGGCAATGTTATTAGAGTCAAAACTCAAAATTATGATTTTAATCAAATTAAAGAGTGACTTGAATCAAGATGATAAAGTCAATATTTAACTTGTTTGATTCGAGTCATGACTTGAATCATGTGATTCAAGTCAAGAAAATTTATGACTCAAGTCACATTTCCAAAATAAAATTCCAAATATTTGAGTTCATTACTGATTTGAGTCAAACATAGCTATGACTCTACTCATGGTATCTTTTGATTTGAGTCATGCAAGTTCTTGAATCGAATTGTGCGTTTTAGCGTCAAAATCCAAAATATCAATTTATTTGTGATTCGAGTCAAAAAAAATTGTGCTCGAATCAACCTTAAGAAAATCTTGCTTTAAGTCTTAACTTGTGATTCAAGCCACATTGATCAATTGTTCAATTAAAATAAGGGTTAAATATATTTTTGGTCCCTATAAATATCTCATCATTTTTAGTCTCTATTAAAAAAAGATAAATTTTGGTCCTTAAATTTTTTTATTCATGTAGTTTTAGTCCTTGCTATTTTCTAAAATTTTAAAAACAGTTTAATTACCCTTAAACTTTTAAATTTTTGACTAATTTTTTTATACGTGTTTAGAATACTATAAAATGTTTCTTTACCGGATTTTAGAATTTTTTAAAATGAGAATAATTAAATATGAATTTTTTAAAATTTAAAAGATATTGATAAAAATAATGAAAATCTCGACTTATAAATCAAATTTTGAGTTTATTTTTTTTTCGAGAAACTTTTTGTAACATTCTAAATATGCCATTAACAGCCGGACTAAAATTACGTTCATAATAAATTTATAAAGACTAAAACATGTCATATTTTTTATATATTAAAAATAAAATTTAATAATATATAGAGATCAAAAACATATTTAATTTTTAAAACAAATATTATGAATATTTTCACATAAGATATAATTAGAGATAATTGTGAAGAACATCAGCTACGATAAAATAATGAATTATAAATATCTAAAAATGAGGCCAAACATCAAAATACAGATAAAATCAAATTTTTACTGACGGAGCAATTTTAGTCTTTCCTTTTTTATATTTAGAAAAACTTAAGTTATTTTAGCTCCTCAAAAAGCAACGCACAAGACAACTTAAATTCCTCCCTGCGTTAAATACTTTAAGTGCATAAACATTTAAGATATCTCATAAAATTCTCCCTCATTTGACTAAGATCAAAAAGAGAGACAAAAATAAAAGTTAAAACGTACATAACAACGTAAACATCAAACATGCATTCACGTTACTAATTTCCATGTATCATAAACGCATAAAATACTACAATTACACAAAGATGCAAAGCATATACGTATTTCAAGCATATGATATTATCGCAAAAAAAGATAAATATAACAGATAAGAATGAATTAACTAGATTGCAATAGCAAAACCGACTAATACGACAACATAGATATATTACGTATCAATAAAAAATTAGCATCGGTTTTCAAAAACGGTGAAAAAACTGGGGAATATAACAAAGTCAAAAATAAACTACTAAAATGCTAAATGCAAATGATATGAAATGATGATGTAGGGAGGTTAGAGGAAAAACAATCATCATCCGTTGTAGTGTTATATTTTTATCGGGACCTAATAAGGAGTAGCTTATGTAAAAGCGAGGAAGGCCGACAAGAAGGTGAAGGAAAAGGCGTACAACAAAGCCACTGGCCGTACAAAATGGGCCACGAAGCCGCCCATATTTAAATAACTGCCCGCCTGATTAGGCTTAGTCTACCCGAACTATTTCCCACTTGTCTAGTAAACATGGGAGATGATGTGTCCCATTATAACAAACTAGAGGAATGAGTCAAATGAGGAATAATTCCTTCCTCCCCATGATCTAGTTATGGAGGGAAGATAACATCTCTCAACCTAGGCCCATAGACTTATATAAGGTTGAGAAAGAAAGATCGTAATTTATGCATAACATCCAAAATTATGTGTTCTGAAACATGTGGAACACGATGTTCCAATATGTATGCTGAAACATCTAGTCTCTGACAACAGACAAATGTATTGAAGTATTGGTTTAAACGTATTATGTCCAAGATTCACTCTACAAAGAAGATCTATGAAGAGAGTTAATTAGGTTGTTCTGGTGCAACATGCGGAATATGATGTTCCAACATGTGCGTAGTGCAACATCTGACCCTCGTTAGCAGGCCATGATGGATGTTGCTAGGTGCGAAATTTTAGATTGAGATTCAATCAGATTTGTGGCTGATTGTCTAGCAATGTTTATGTGATTTACTTTATAATTATTGAAGATCAAATCAAATTTAAATGGAGATTTAAATTTGAATTTGAAATATAATAATTCATATATATTTTTGGAGATTTTTATGGAGCAAATCAAATCCAACTTATTCAGTTATTATTCTGGGCAAAATTAATTCAAAAACCCATAGGAGAAATCCCAGAATGCATTGTTATTTAAGGAGACTCAAATCTTATGTTTGAGACAAGTTTTGTGCGCTTGGATTAAGTTCTTTGTGCTAGAGTTTTTGAGTCTTTTGTTTTTTGTATTCCACACTAATGCTATCACTCATATAATAAGAATTAGTGTTGAATCTTGTTTGTTATACACCACACTATTGCTTCAGTAAATTTCCACAGTTGTTAGTTTGTCTTAACGGAGTTGTCAATTCAAAAATCATTGTGTTAATGACTAAGTTGATCATGTGGGTTAATGATTGAGATAAAGTGATAGAGGTTCTCATATTTAGGCAAAGTCCTAAAAAGAAATTCATTAGGATTAGAAAGAGGCGTTGAACATCATGAGGTTGGTGTTCC